AAAAAAAAAAAAAAAAAGATACAGAAAGCAGATCCATTTTAGATGAATACAAGTGCTAGAAGACTGGGCTAAACTTAGCTAGAAGGAAATTTTGAAAATGGATGTGGTCCAGCACTTTAAGCAGTGCAGATAAGTATAGGTAAGAAGAGTAGACAAATGGCCAGCATCAGGATAACTTTCTGCTCTGGTGGTGAACACATTCAGAACAGGCAGTATCATCTGCATGTATAGAAGTGCCTCCATAGACAAGCACTGATCCAGGCAATGGGCAGTCCATGCCACAGAATGCTCCTGCCTCCAAGAGCCTCATACTCTCTCCATTCATTATTGACAGAAGACTGTTACTTGTTACACCAGCACAATAAATTAAATGGCACGTATGTAGAAAAAGTATTACATGGCCAGGCCTGCAATACGTCCTCTAGATTTCTGCTTCTTCTGAAAGAAAGGCAGGGTTAAAGCCCCTGAAGTCTCCTGGCCTGATCTGGTATCATGAGCTCAGTATTGCTAACGTGCCAGCTGGATGGATTTTTCATGTGCTCAAGTCCTACAGGAAATATTGTAAAATATGTTAGTTCTCCCATTCAAATGAGAGGTGTGTTCTCACCCAAAATAACCAGGCTAAAACCCTGCAGAATCACTTGGGGGGGTGGGGGGGAAGCAATCAACAAAAAAATCCCACCACCAAAATAAAAACCAACACCACCTCACCCCCTGGGTGGGGGTTGGGAAGACCCAGGATGATCTTATTTAGAGGGGATTGATTGAAACATTTCATAAGAGCTCACAACCCAATCATTCTCCTGAGCAGCAGGTTTTTTCTTTTCCTCAATGCTTAATCTCCACTGGAAAAGTCATGATTACTAAAATAAAGGTACATTCCTGATGGGAACAAAAATAAATGCAAAAACTTTTGACTAAAACATTACTGCAGTTACATACTTATAAGCAATTTAAATCCACTGCAGAAGGTGCCAATGACAGGACAAAAGGAGTCAAGCAAGTATCCCGAGTTTGACTCTACTGCCCTGTCCTGGGCCAGTACATAGATGTGATGCATCTCAGCAGCATTGCAGTCATGCTCACTCTGTACTATGGCACAGCTAGATGGAACTTTAGTGGCATCAGACCTCATTTCTACTCCAAAAGGATAAGAATTGGAAAAAAACACACACCAAACAAAACTGGCATGTGTTAAGAAAACATCAGCAACCCTCACAAGAATCAGTGCTTGCAGAAGGAGTAATGAAACCTCTCTAGTACTTCTGAATAAACTCAGCTCAATCAGCTGAAGATAAAGATTCTTCATCATAAGTTATACAGAAGACTGTTAGGGGGAGAAGAACTAGAGACAGAAATCCTAAAGAATTATACAGTTGCCAGCACAAATAAGGAAATGAGGCCAAAAGCCATTTTCATAAACCATTTTAGCCTGCACTGAAAACCCTTCTACTAGAGAAATGCTTGTTTTAGGAAAACTGATGCTGTTTCTACCTTTCCTGTATCAAGGCACAGGATTCTGATCAACAGCCTTTATCCAACAGAATTCAGTGAAATGACTCAATGTATTAATTCACCCTTTATGAAATCTGAAAGGGTGGGTTAGCTCGAGGCTTTTTTTATTTTAAGTACAGAGAATGCTGTGATGGAAATACAAACAGCAAAGGGCCTTTGGTTAGTTCTTAAAAAGAGATTTTAAATAAACTTCCATATATGTTCTTAGGTGGATGTACAAATAAACTTATGATTCATAATACTGACAGCATGAGGAATTCAGCAAGAATAGCAACTCGTATTTGCTGTTACCCTATTTCTTAATATCCCATATGGTAGGAGGCACAAGATACTTTTTAATGCAGATAATGACAAGATAGATGGTATTTACGATGTGATATAATACCAAGCTATCTTTTCTTTTCCCTCACAGGTTTTCACCGGCAATATTTTTATATCTGACTTGCACAGTACCATCACTATGGCTACTAGAAATTCATCATGGGACTCAGGTATTTATTATGAGACAAGGTGGACTAGTTTGAAATTGATGCATTATTTGATAGGTTGGATTTGGGCATATAGAGAGAAGTCTGCCACATCTTGTTCCAATTTTCTGTTTCATACTGGTGGGTCTCCCAATCCAGCTACAGCTATACTGTGACTACTGTGCATTTCCTAAATTTCAGATAATGACCCTCATTCCTAGCTAAAAACGAGTCCATTTATTTGTATTTGTCTGGGGAATTGAGAACTAGTAGTTCGAAAAACAGCTTTTCACCCCCAAGTTACCAGCTTGAATCTTGCTTAGGATGGTGAAAGAATTTCATTGCTTTAGAGGCTAAAGAAAAAAATAAAAATAAAGTGCGAGTTTCACAGCACTTACAGTCCAGTAAGTTTTCACAGCACTTACTGCATCCAGTTCTACTGCATCCAGTTCTGGAGCCCCCAACACAAGAGAGACATGGACCAGTTAGAATGAGTCCAGAGAAGGCCATGAGGATGATCCGAGGGCTGGAGCACCTCTCCTATGAGGACAGGCTGAGAGAGTTGGGGCTGTTCAGCCTGGAGAAGAGAAGGCTCCAGGGAGATCTTATAGCGGCCTTCCAGCACCTGAAGGGGCCTACAAGAAAGCTGGGGAGGGACTTTTTACAAGGGCAGTTAGTGACAGAACAAGGGGAAATGGCTTTAAACTGAAAGAGGGTAGGTTTAGATTGGATATTAGGAAGAAATTCTTCACTGTGAGGGTGGTCAGACACTGGAACAGGTTGCCCAGAGAAGCTGTGGATGCCCCCTCCCTGGAAGTGTTTAAGGCCAGGTTGGATGAGGTTTTGAGCAGCCTGGTCTAGTGGGAGGTGTCCCTGCTGATGGCAGGGGGGTTGGAACTAGATGATCTTTAAGGTCCCTTCCAACCCAAACCATTCTATGATTCTATACAGGCAGATATCACAACTCCAAGCAAGGCAAAATTGAGACAGGTATCAGCGAAAGGGGTCTTAAACTTAAGCTACCTCTTGGTTGCTGCAGCCTAGGAGAATACTCACAGATTGCTACTAGATAGCTGACATGGTAATTTGTCTGTCAGTGTTTATATCCTTTCTTTGTTCGTGCTGTGTAGTAATCTGGGATGGGCGTGCCTGAATTCCAATTCAGGACTAAAACATATGGTAAAATTTTTAGAAGCAAGTGTTCTTTTGGCAGATGGAGTTAGTTAGGGCTAGGACAGAACCAGTTAGCCCAGCAGCTCACATTGAGTGAGCCACCTCCTCGTGCAGGCTGCTTTCAAGTCCCCATAGCACCTCCACTTAGTGAAAAGGGGATTTTGTCTGTCCCAGCACTTGCACATGTACAGTACCTTACATCCACAGCAGAAAAGGGCCTGATAGGAACAAGAGCAAAGAAGAAAATACATAAATTAGACTAAGAAGACATAGTGCCTCATTTTCTCCTTTGAAACATTGTTAGAGCCCACAGAAGCATAATCAAATATTCAAAATTGTGTTTACACTGAAAATGCCTGAGGCTTTTTCTAAATACAGCAGCATTTTAGGAATTTATTGTCTTCTTGTTTTGCCAAATCTCCTTAAACAGTCACAGACAGGTAATATGGATATTGAGAACATTTGTCATAGTTAAATCCAGTCCAAGAAACAGGCTAATTCTGTAGTCAAAGGCAGCAGTTTATTTCCCAAAATGATGTTAGAACATGGCATACTTTGTTCTTATTGATATACTGCTACTGTGAATTAAAGAGGGAGTATATCAAGTTAACAGCTTAGCTTATACCTGGAGAGACAGGATAGAGACTTCTGGAAACACACAATCTAATAGATTCAAAACTAATACCTCCAGAAGGGGAGTAGCCTCTTAACAATTAATCTCAAACACAGCACCCAGACTAGTACTATTCCTCATACCAAAGTATTGCTGGGATTTTCCTTATTAAAATACTAACAGAATGGGTAATTATGCAGTTGCTAGATGCACACAGTTAATATATACCCTATGAAAACAGGTTTTGGTCTTTAAGGCGGTAGAATTTTGATTTCATGTTGAACAGGAAACATCAACTGCTTGTGTTGTGTTGGTGCTGTAATTCAAGGCATGTGCTAATATGCAGTCTCTCTTCCTGAACACAGAGGTAATTCTGCCTCTCCGAGTACTGCAGAACTGGACATAAGTAATACCACTCATATATCAACAATGTAATACTGACTGCATAGAAACTACTGCTTTGCTGTAAAGTATTTGGGGGATGAAATACATGTTTGGGAGAGACTATAAAGTAAATTGAACTGAAAAAATTGCTGTCTGCAAAATAAGAGTGGCAAGAAAATTAAAACCGTTTAATCCACTAAAAAACCCAAGCATTCTTTCTTAATATTGTATAAGATCTCAGATAAACAAATACCTCTGTTGCCTTTTCAAATGCCTGGTGCATCACTGCCACAGAAAGTGATAACCGGCCACCCTTTGCAGGGCTTACCTGACTACCAGTGCTGTAGTTGATATAGGCTTCCCAGTCAGTAATACGACAGATACTTAGTAAACCTTGTAATTATTTTTAACTGCCTTAACTTGAAGATTTTAAGGAAAGTGACAATTACTGCCCATTGCTTCAGCCTTATTCTGAGGGGGAATTCTCTTACCAGATAAAATTCTAGTATCACTCCCCTAAAAGTGATCTTACATCTTTCACCATTTCCTCTCTCCCATACACATTATCTTCCTCAATTTGGAAAACAGCTTAAGCAATCTCTTCTCCCTGTTTTACATTCCAGCTTTCCTGTATGAGCGAAATGAAGCAGTCATGGTTGCTTTCAGTTTCTGACATCACACGTGTTGCCATAGTGACGGCCACAGTGTTTCCAGCAAATCGCAGAGAGCAAGCGGGGTACCTGTTGCTTGGCAAAGGGCCAGCTCTAGGGAAGGGCTAGCCTCTTCCAAAATCCACACACGTTAACAGGATTGAGGGTACTCTTCCCTGGTATTCCAGTGTCAATTTTACCATCTTGATGCTGGACCTTGCAAAAAGTTTTAGCTAACCTCGTTTTTATTTGGGAATAATGGATTGTGAATACATGCAAATAGAAATTTGCTGAATTAGTTGGGTGTTTCAGGAGTTCCCTATGCACTGACAGCAAGCTCTGCAGGCCACACAACAGGACAACATGTCACGCAACAGTTTCCATTTTGATTAGATGTTTTATAAATCAGAGGAACGTAAGCTTCATCTCAGAAGAAACAAAGAAAGTAAACCAAGCTAGAACTTATGCAAAATGTGTACCACTTCTTCCTGTTTATTTTTGCAAAGAAAAAGGGCATTTTTATTTAGCTATGCACATGGTCTCAATGCCTAGGAGTAACTGGGCCCTAGCAATAAAGAGGTAAACCACATTTATCAACTGCCTGTGAAACTCAGTATTCACTTTTTCCTTGTCACATTCCCATTAAGTCACTGCACATGCATAATTGGCTAGGCAAATATGCCTGGCACCAACAGTCCTATTTACATGCATATACATGATGAAAATAAAGGCTCTTCTCCAAACTTTCAAGTGAATCAACATCATAATCACCACTTATTAAATATTCAGAGAGAAACAAACCAAAACAAGGTATGAACATACTTGAATTAAAAAAATCAGGAGGCTACTTGTATGACTGGCCTTGCAGATGCAGTTTTTCATTTCCTGCCTGCACGCAGTTGAGAAGAGATCCGGAGCCAGCCCTGAGGAGTGCCACTCAGTCAGAGTTCCCCACTCAGTCAGATTTCCTCTAGCTTTGCACTGAAATAGTCCCCCCCCCCCCCTCAATTAGCTGGGAGTAGTTGCAAAAAACACTGATAAAGTAAATTAATTTTCTTAGAGAAGTATTGTCTGCATCTTTGTACCATTAGGAAAAAAAAATAAATAAATAAATAAAAGAGCCCCCTTGCAAACCATATGGAAGCCCTGGCATGCTTTCCTCTGCCTCCCTCCAGCAGTGCTAGTTGCCGACTCCCGCAGCTCTTCTCTCCAGGTTAAGTGGAGCAGCCAGTCTGGAGCCACAAGAGCTATCTGCTCTGTATTGTTAGCATTGGGAGAGCCATGGCATCTGCTGAGAGGCACCTATATGCTTTGCTACCTCCCACTTCACTCCTGTCCTTCAGCCATCTGATTTATGTGCTGGGAGTTCTCACAGAATTTGGAAAGAGATTTCCACAGTCCTTACACACAGCAAACAGAGCAGGCTGCCCTACGCGGGTCCTGCCTCAAATTCAGCAAATTCTTCTCTGAGCAACCAGGCTTTAAAAAGCAAACAAAAGAATTCCCAAACTCTGATGTGAAGTTTAATGCAAGTTCATGGCTCCTTTCCCCTTACCTCTGCCAGACCAGGCGAGGGGGTGGAAGAGAGGGCTCAAACACAGATTTGACAACAAACCAAAGGCTGTCAAGGTGAATTAGTCTTCTTCCTCCGGCACAAATTAGTAATCCCTTTGCCCTACTCAGGCTGCTTGTCACAAGGTAAATAACTCCTTAATATTCTGAGGTGGCTACCCCAGTTATGCAGTATTTTTAGGTGATGGTCTCCTCAGCCGACTGCATCATGCTGCCTGTGAGAGTTACTCAGATAGGCTGACTTTGACCTTGGGGGTTGGTCACCATAAGCTTTAGACTTTTTCTAGAATCAACTGATAAAAAGGCTTCTCCAGAGCACCAGTTAAATTTCCCTTCTGAAACATCCTCTGAACAAGCTATTCTGTCTCTCTCCTTTGATTGAAGGACTAACCCAGGGAGATGAGCCCCACAAGGCCGTAGCTAGCAGAGTACGAGCCCCTCCATCTCACTATCTCTGTGCCTAGAACTTTAGACTTCCCTCCCCCAAATGGAAATATCATGTTCCCCACATCTGTGGGTCAGTCTTTCAACACTCTCACATCCACTGTCCAAATAAGGCAAGCATCCAGTTTAAGAAACTTTACCACCAATTATAAAAGCAACAAACACAGACTTTTTTTTTTTTTTTTTCCAGATTTTTCAGACCACGGGAAGTTATTCCATTTATCTATGACAAGGTCAGGCAAGAGGCAGCATTTACCCAGATACTAAACAACATTATCAGTGACCAAGTCAAGTATCAAAGGGGAATTTGAAATTTGCTAGAATGTGATATTTGCTGGGAAATTTTGCCTTTATATTGGCAAGCATTATGCTGAACACAGCTACTCAGTATGCACTAGAACACATTATGATTGTTGCAGAAAATCACTCCCCATGAAATAAAATGGTGGGGGGCCCAGTGGAGAAATGCACATCATCTGGTGTTCTCTGGCACAAATAGGACAGAATAAAAGTCTTTAATAATAGCATGGTTTGATTTTTCTAGTTATCCCTTTTTTATTACAATGAAGAGAGATGTTAAGGGCTTGTTGTGAAGACTGATTTTTAGAACCGTACCCCAGTTGCTACAGATCCAACTTTAGGGGTGAAGGTAGAAGGGCAGTGCAGCACTGTAGACCTCAGATGGGACACAGTCCCACCACTGGTTTACTGCAGCTGAAGTAACAGTATGTTTTAGCCAACATTCAATTTTCCAGAGCACCGGGTACTTGAGGAAAGTAAAGATACCTGGTTTTCTACTCTGCAGGGGTAGGCAACACCACAGACCCTTTTTTCTTAATTATCCCTGAATCTCACCTCTCACATAATGAATTTCCTTGCAGAATAAGGCACAGCTTGGGAAGCCCTACCCCAACTATTAATTTCAGCCTTGGGTGAAGTCATACAGAAGAATGAAACTATTGCATTTTTAGAGAACTTTTTCTGGATAGTAGAGATGAGAAGCAGATTTTTTTGAGAAAAAGTTTGAATATAGAGACTGACCATGACCATAAAACAGCAGACCGACCATGACCAATTTTTATCCTATTTTACTGTTTTAGCCAGAAACACTACGTAGGAAACCTAGTAGCCTGTTCAGGAGAGCTGCAGGCAGATGGCATTCAAAGAGTACAGTCTTAACAGCACAAAGGTGTCACCCGCTCCATCAGCCTTTGAATTTACATCCTCTTCTATAGTGCAGTCCTACACTGTCTCAGGGACCTACCGACACATCACTCCTCTCCTCATGAGAGGAATTCTTCCCTTCTGAAGAAGAGGGGAATTTCATTCAGAGTGAGCATGTAACTTCGTAAACATCGACTGACTTTCACAAATGAACCCTCTGCAGTTCAGCAAAATGGGACTCTTTCAGCTGCAGAGTGCTTCTGCTCCCTTTGTGGGATGCTTATGCATGTGTGATGTTTTTCTTCACAACAGTACTGCGGTAATGAGCCCGGAGCAGTTCAGGTGAATGTCAGCAACCACGACTTCAATCAATCCAGAGACAGCAGTCATGGAAGTGAGGGAACAGATCACCACATCATTCAGACGGTGGGACACCTTTTCCTATTCCTCACAGAGATCATATGACATTAGAGCAATTAGAGAGGACTGTTGTGTCTATTTGGGCAAGCTCCTCACAGTGATTAAAACAAAAAAAAAAAAAAAAAGAAAGAAAAAAAATAGTTTCCGAAAACTGTATTGTGAAAGTGGTGCGTACTACAGCATGGTGCATACTAACTGTTGTTGGTAGGAAAAGTCTCTGTGTGAAGAGGAGAGTCTCCTACCACTCTTTTCCAAATCTCAGTCGCTGAGTTTAGAAAGTGTCTGCATGATGGTTGTGCAAAGGATAACGCTCAGCTGAAAAATGTGAACAGAAGAGTAGCACACAAAGACTTGTTATTCATTACCCAAAGTTTCTATTAGCATGCCTTTTTCAAGTTATACCTGCCACATAGAACTGATTTGCTCTAATACAATGGGAAGGAGAACAAAAGCAGGCTCAAGGATGAATACAGTCTGAATGTATCTATAATGTCAGTCTCCTGAAGTTACAGTATGTTATTGTTGTTGTCTTTTAAACAGGCTAAAGTCTTTGTGAATCAGCTCTCCACAATCTGTGAGACTGTATGGACACTGGCACTCCACCAGACTTTTCTGCTGTTACTAGTAGTTGGGAGATGGCTTCTCCCCATTGGAGTTGAAATCACTCGGGACCAATTGTCTCAGCTGCTCCTCATGTTTGTGGGAACAGCAGCAGATATACTTGAATTTGCTAGTGAAACTTTGGACATTGAAGATGTTCGGTAAGGACTATTTGCTGACATAAATAATTTGTATAGCGCAAGATATTTGTTTTGTTTGAAGATTTGTTTGTGCTATCTGTGGTGTTCAGACTAGTGGAACGGTATTTCCCACAGATAACAGAAGGTTACGTTCAAGGGCTCCATTTTCTTACTCTCATCTTTCCCTCTGTAAAAGACCCAACAGTCCTATGAGCTTCGTTAAGGATTACTCATCTGTTGCCAGCAGAGAAGCGTGTTTCACCCTTTTATTGTGATGGATGCCAAGAGCCAAACAACTAGCATAACTAGTTGCCCTGCAGAGTCAGTCCTTGCAGCTACAGGAGCTCAAACATTGGATACCCAATAAGCCTTTTTCAGGTTAATGATTTGTTTTAGACTAGCAAGGAAGCAACTAGAGATTGCTTTAGTGATTCATTATCCAAGTTGCTTCTTTAGTTATCTCATATGTACTTTCTTCATGATAGAATGACAAAGTGTTCAAAGATAAGAAGAAAGGGAATGGGATAGTCTGGTGTGAATTTTCAGCATTGTGATCTCTCCCAGAGAAAGTAAGCCCATCTCCCCCTCACTGGACTGAGAGATGAGCTGTGAACATCCAGCATAAAAAAAATGAATCACAGAGGAGATTCATCCTCTCGTACAGACATGCTTTTTTTTATATCAAAGAAAAAGTTTTGCAGCAGGAAAAGAGGTCCTTCCCACTTGGCAGAGAAGCTTCAGGCTTGCAAGGAATGTGTAATCACTACAAGGGTAAAGATATTTCCTCTTTGAGCCACAGAGTCTCTTTCCATATGCTTATCATTATAGCATTAGTATCAGATATTTAGTGTAATTAGACAGTTGGAACACGTGGCCTGAACAGCAAAAATTCTATACCAAAAGGTGCCTCTGTTTTCCTTAGTCTTGCATCTCAAGAGCATGCATTAATCAATCGCTGTTTCACTCAACCACCCTTTAAATGACATTCCAGATACTACAGGGAACATTTTTGTTATCACATAAGGAAACTGCATCTTCACTGCTATCACTTTTTTCCCCTCCCGTAGGAAGAATTATGCTCTCATAAATGCAATTCTTGCTGTATGGACCTGGAGTATGCTACAGTTTCCACTTGATCTTGCAGGTTAGTACTTGCACATAGACAAGAAAAGAGAACAAATGCTTTAAGTTTTTGCTGGCATGTCTTGTGGCTCTGCACACACCAGTGGTTATACTGAGGGCTTCTGGTGGAGAGCAGTTCACATAATGATGGTTTTTGAAGAAAGCCCATTGTGGTTTCTTTTGAGGAAACACTTGTTTCTGGCTAACCTCTGATCTCCCTGATAAAGCACTCTACTTACAGAAAAAATGGGAATTGCAATCTTGTATTGCAGCATCTGCTCTGGTTGCCTGGTGCTTCCTCAGACTTCACTATGTGAGCTCTTGAGTTAGATCTGGTCTTGAATTATAATTATGGCTCCAATGTGGGTAGGTTACTAGACCCTATGGAGAGATAGGCTATCATTAACCACAGGAAACAGCACAGCCAAGAGCACAGAAGAGGTTACCACAGGAGAAATTACCTATTCACAGGGAACCTAAAGGACCATATAGTATTGGGACTGTACACCTTTATCTTAAGCTAAAAAGCCCACATTCAGCCAGCTCAGGCTCGTATTTGTCCCTAGGAAGAAAGAGCTTCTCTACATCCGAGAAGAATAATGAAAGCCACCTCAATCATCATCTGTTCTAACCATTTTTACCTCCAGCCACTACAGGTTTGCAACTTAACTTTACCAGTCCAAAGATACATTATCCACACTAGCATCTTATATAAAATTGATGGCTAGGTTGACACACTTATTAAAATAATAAATGAATAAAATAATAATGAAAAATTATTCCAGGAATTTTTCATTAGCCTTTTCTTCATGGGCAGCACTATTTTGTTTTCAACACTGAAATTAGGAAAACATTTCAGCATTTCAGCTCAGCAGCAGATTACATCCTGAAAAAACCTGATGCAATCATATTTCAGATTTATCACAGCTATAATTTCTGTTACTGGTAAAATATATTGTGTTAAAGACGCATAACACTCAGGATTTAAAAACAAAAAACCAAACCACAGAACAAAAACCCCACACCAATAAAAAAAACCTTTCCATACACATCACCACCACCCAAATAAATTCAAACATTGCTTAAACAATCATAGCATTAAATTTAAGTGATGTAATCTGTCATACTATGCATTTTTTCTCTAGCTATTGCTTTTCTGCTTATTTAATTACATTTATCAGTTAAAAATTAAGTTATTGAACACACATTGCCCTGAAATTTACTATGGGTACAGTTTATTTTAGGTAGTTCTATACAGTTGCACAGATAGTACTTTTTAATTAAGCATCAGAATGTTTACTCACACATCAACCATGACATAAAATAGAAGTTTTTAAGCACTTATTATTGGACAGCAATGCAGTTAGGACTATTAAACAGCAATGGCACAAAAACATATTAAAAAATTAGCTGCTGCTGAAGCTTTGCCTAATGGATTCAGCAAATTTCTACATTCTAGAACTCATTTTCCACTTGAGTCTTTTTTTTTTTTTTTTTCTCCCCATTGTTGACTCAAACAATAGAATTCTTTTGGTAAGCTGAAGTGTTTGGCAGTTGTTACTGCATTTATAATCCAGGGTACCCTGGATTGTAACTTCCCTAACCCTGGCTCAATTTTAGAGAGTTGTTTTAACATAACTGTGTTTTATTTTCAGTACAGCATATTGGCTGCAAACCAACTGCATCACCTAGGCGGATCCCCAGCCTGCTGCTGTGCAGGTACAGTGCAGAACTATGGAACATCGGGGTCAGCCTTTTCATACAGGATGGTCCCTTCTTCATTGTGCGTTCAATCCTGATGGGCCACTTCAGAATATTCAATCAGATGTTGGTGTTTTTTACAGCTAAAAATATCTTAGTTGTGACTCTACAATTGTATCGTTTGGCAGTGATAACGTTAGACTTCCGTGCTACTGTTCTGCAGAAGAGCAGAAAAGGAGAAGTCAGCTGTTGCCCCTGTGAGCCTTATGAAGCTAGTACTCATGCTACCGCTGACCAAGATACTGTAATGAAAGAGTTTGTTGCTTTTTCTCCAAAAGAGGAATCCCAAGCTCCATCAGGAGATCAGTGAGCACAGTCACTGATGTGAAAGAGATTGCATTTCCCACAGCTTCTTCAGAAGGGCTTAGCTGATTTCTATGATCAAACACACCTTGAGTGCCTAAGTCATCTCTTCCACCAAGAGATCAATAATTTCTTCTAAATTGTAGGGGAAATTTTCTGAAGCAAAGTCATAGAAATGGCTTTTGCCATTTTTTTATCCATTTGTATGATGGATTTTGACTAGGTCCCTATGATATTATCCACAAGGATTTGTAGCCATAGTTTGTAGTAGCAAGAAAGGTTTGTCACACTAAGAGTTATTGGGGTGGCATTGTGATAGCATATGTACTTGAATGTATTCAAATAGAAGGACAAGACTATCCATTATGGGAAGTACAGAAGCATTTAGCTCTACTTGGATGGTCAGGCTGTAACATAGTGTGATGAACAATATGGTCACCATGTGTGGGAGCAACTTCAGCAGTGACAACTGTGCAGACACACAAATGAAGGGAGATGACAGATTTCTACTGTTACTGTGACATCTAAACATTGCTCATTCAAGAAATTTAGCATCTTCAAACATTACCTCATCCTTGCCTGGATTCAGTTAAAAACTATGCAACACCATGAAACTGCATACATAAGACTGTCTTTTAGGACCTGCATGGTCTGAATAACCTAAACCTTACAAAAAAAAAAAAAGCGCAACCCCACAGATCATTAAAAGAACTGCATTTGTCACAGGCATTTTCTACAGAGCTGCTTGCCTTTATATTTCTACCAGCAGAACACACACACACAAAAAAAAAGCCAACCCCAAAATATCTGTAAAGCTTTCCCCCCGCCCTTGGTTTCACTGTGCTTGCAGTTGAGACAAATTTTTAAAATGCCCCCATTTTATATGATTTATAAAAGTGGGCTTATTGAGGCATACAATCTAACTAGAAAGAAACATCCCTGCTCAAGTTTGACAAGACTATCTAGACAAAAGGATTCAGGTTTGCGCTTCACATTTTATAGAGCACCACAAGGTACCATGAAACAACCGGAGAGATTGTCTGATCTGTTGAGCGTCGAGATCAATTTTTAAGAAATGGCTAATAATTGTTCATTTACTACTTTGATGTTCAGAATGAACAACACAAGGCCTGATTAATTTCTCCCAAGAACAAACTTTGTATCAGTGTAAGGCCATTGACTTTGCTGGGCTTAGGTTACAGAAGCTGAAAGAAAGATAAGTGTTTTTTGAAAGTCTGCCTAAAAATTATATTCTCACAGAAAGCGTCAGGTGCTTTTACAGATTTCTACATCCATTCTAAAAGAGTGCAGAAAAGCATATTAAAAAATCTAGCAAGTGTCAAGTGACCTAGTTAAGGTACCTTCCCTTATTAAAAAATTCCCCAATTAAACCTTATTTTCCAAAGCCTCCACTATCTAAAGACAGAGTCTGGTCTGGGGAATGCATAGAAGTGTTTCTGCTACCACTGCAGAAGTCATATGCTTATTTATCCATAGCCTGATAAACAATGGCAAGTTTATTCTTTGAAAGATTAACCTATTGAAAAATTCCAACCTCCAAACATGTGAACTTGTGTTTATATTTGCGAGTTGTTACTGTTCTATGCATGATCAGGCCCATCCATTATGAAAGAAGAAAATGCACAGCCATAAAGAAGGAAGTCTCATACTTCATAGCCTTTTCCAACATTAATACTTTAGTAATAATGTGCAACGCTTCCTGCTCTTCTTATTTTGGGCCTTTTTCCAGCAGAAATTTAAAAAAGCCAATCATCATTCACCATGGTGTTGGAAGGTAGATATATAGTGAGTGGAATGCAACTTCATTTGGGATTTTAATTCAAGTCTGGAGGTAAAAAAGCTAGAGTGCTGGTGATGACCACTGTGCTGTCTAAAACTTTTCACATTAGGGTGAATTTGGAATCAGTTGCTAGAACTGCAACAGATTTTTCCTTGTTGACGCAAGCCAGGACTACTCACATTCATTCTGAGTTTACCACTTGCTGATATAATAATTATCCTGTTAAAAGGATCCTTGCTAATTAATTCGGAGTGTACTGAGCTTGCTAGAACATCATTCTAAATTCATCAGCACAAAAATTGCAGGATGTACTTTTTTAAACTTGCTGTCTATTTAAAGGGCTTAGTTCAGCAACAAACTGCCTACCAGGCTCAGCCTGCAGCAAATGCAAGATCCCCTGGGGTCAGAAATACAGAGACTCAGGAATATTTTACAGAGAACGATATTTCCTGGTCTTCAGGCTGTTCCATTTTAAACAGCAGTAAAGCTTCAAATTAGATTTACTGCAAGAAGAACTCACTCCGATGCTAGGTTTTTAGTACGACATCCTATCCCCATTCACTCAGACAAAATAGGTTAGATCCTACCTCTCACTTATGACAGAATAGATTTGAACTTTCCTTTTCCTCCCTACTCTCAGGGGTGATGGCAAACAGATTGCTTAAAACCAGAAGAAAACTCAAACAGATAAACAAAGCACTGAAATGATGGGTAGTCTACCTCCCCACCTGTGCACAGAGGGCAATCACATACACCAGGTATGACATACAGTTCCCTCTACTTCACTGAGAAGCCTGGAAATGGCAGTTAAGAAGTCCAGTAGCTTGTATGTTCAGTCACAGCAGCAAACCCCAGTTGCAAGCCTTCTTTACCTTCCTCCTGCAAATTTTTTTTGAGAGAGGACTCCAGCACTGTTTTTCCAGCAGGCTGTTTGAGTCAGCTGAATCAGCAGCTGGGTGTGGGGAGCCATTGTGTCATCCTGCAGCCTTCCAGAGCTTTGCACTAGGCAGGCAGTAGAATGCATTTTCTTGAAGATCTGCCAGCATCTGTGGCGTATTTAAAGAACAACTGATGTCATGCTTGCTGGACAGGAATAGCTGTAGTAAACTTTCAGACAGGGAAAATTCAAGCCTTCAAGATGGAAGAATTTCAGAACATTTATCTTAACCATTATTTACTTGAGTCAGGAGAATTATATTACCAAATCTCTTCTGCAAATAGATATGTAGCCATTTACTGTTATTTATTCTGGTTGTTCCTGCCTTATCCTTTTAGATTATTCTATATTAAACCTCACTAAAATGTTTTATCACTTGTGTTTTCCTGAGCTAAAATGTATTCCTCCTTTCCTTTGGACATTGGCTTAAATAAGATCGTAGCCCTGAGCCTGGGGAAAAAACAAAACAAGACAAACCCCAAAAACCAAAACAAACAACAACCATGATTTTATTGAGTTTCTGTTTCTAGTTGTACTGTACTATGTTCTCTGGGACCATGTGGAAATGGAAGAAAATGTGCAATTACTTTTTAAAAATACCAACTGTATTTTGCAAATAAAAGGCAGCTACCTTAGGCATAGCTGCCAATTTATTATGTGAGAGCAGACTGTTATATGTTCCCATTAATTACATCACATGCTGCTTTTCCTTTCCATCTTTCATAAGTTATTTACTTAGGCCAGATTCTGACTGTAGCCATTGCTTTGAAAACTCACAGCAACTGCAGGAAATTCCACTCTATTCTGAACTAGTTCTTTATTCAGAATCTTTGCCTCCAAGTACGCAAGTTACAGTGTAATCCCAGAGAGGATGTGTTTAATATCTGCACACAGAATGCATTTTACAGATGCACACGAATACATGTATGCATTTAGACACCTGGCAATGCCTAATATATACGACTTTTATTTCTGTTACAGTGTGAGACTGCCGATGAAAACACTCTGCAGATGTCTGTAAAACACTCACAGAAATACCCAAAGATTACAAATATCTTAAAGCTTAGGGCTCTAAATATTAAGCATACTATACTCTGACCAGTACACTGATTTAAAAAAAAAAAAACAAACAAACACCACTAAGTTTTAAATTCCCAGGAATATATTATTTCCATGCAGGTTTCCCGAGTTGAATGAAACCTATCCAATAATTATTTCCCCCTCAAAAACAAAGCTTTTGAAAAGAGCATTAGAACAGAACACTAGCATCTAAAACTGCACAAAGCTGTTTCTCTGGTTCTGTGTCAGTAGAAAACAGGCAAGCCTTGAAATTACCAGATTGGAGAGTACTTGGCCCTCTGGTCTTTGGGTTCAATTCTCCATCTTTTTCCACACTGCTGTATGACGAAGGAATCCTTTCCTTCCTTGTGAGAGGAAGGAAAACAGATTATTCCTAATCTGTATTAGTGAGGCAATAAAAAAAAGATCATGATTGCAGAAGTAGCAGAGATGTTTGTCCAGCAGGGAAATACAGCAATACAGAATCCTAATGGAATAGATATTAATGACTGAGAAAACCACACATGAGCTGTGTTCTCAAAACCTTCCCTGGCCCTTCAGAGCCAGCACTGGAAGAGTTCTTGTCAGCTAACTCCACTCCGATGATCTCCTGCAAGATGCTAATACCAGAACTCCAGTGGTCCTAAGTCTGACTTGCAGGTGACCCTATGCAAACTTTTCCTAATTTGGTCTCATTTGGGTCCCGTCTTTTCCCATTGGATTAAAGGGGTGGGAGGGAAAGCAAAGTAACAATACAAAACCCTTAATTTACCAAGGTAAACTCTTACCTCATACTTACTCTATACACTGCTGTTCTTTCCCTGTCTACATTTCCAGCTGCTTTCTGGGCCCACTGTCCAGATCTCAGTGTGCAGACAAAACACACTAAACACTGAACTTCCCACTGCTGCCTGTGAAAGTCTTCACAAAAGCACACAAGGCCAATCAAAGATTAAGAAGAGGCAAATATATTTCTTCTTGTTGAAGACAGAAGGTATCTACAGCTGCCAGTTTCCTCCATTTGTTTGTAGCCTGCTATATAGAGGAATGATTTCCTGAGCAGTCTTTCTGTGAAAGACTAGCTTATTGAACTAGCAGTGCCTCTTCCTGAAGCCCTATGGATTAATACCTTCTTCAAACAATCTTAAGGTCATACAAAGTTTGAAATGAGGCTGTCAGACTGTAGCTAGAAATATGGGAGCTAAAGGGT